ACACGCCGGGAAAAAGCATGACGGAGAGAATTAACCGTCTGAGGTGTCAGATCCTTTTTGAAACGGAGGAAAGGGGAAAATCAACTCTAAATGAGGTCATTAACAGCTTTCAACTCGGCGATAGTTGACTTCAATTTGAACACTACATGTCAAAAGCAATTAAGGTATTTGCCAACAGGAGCTAAAAAAGGTTTTTCCTGTGTCTCATTTAAAAAATAAAGAAGCTACAACTCAGTAGATATTGATATCTGAGTGCATTTAAATGTTTAATTGGTTCCAGAAATCACAGCTCCCCGTAGTCCGGAGGCCATAATAAAGGAGACATTAGTCATTCGGTGTTTGTGGGTTCCATCATGGTCAGATTAGAGCCATTAAAGATTAAAAAGCCGCTCGTAAAACAGGTAATGGAGCGGTGCAGATTCACCTCTGATGAACGCCGTTTAACAATGCCTGAAGAGTAAAGTTTCAAGCACTTCTTTTACGGCTGGATTCTCCACCAAGCTGTAATATGCTCCCAGACAGTAATGATCAATGAGAGGCGTAAAATTTAAACAACTTTAGCCCTCGTTTACATTTTTTATCCGTTTTCATCCGGATGCAAACGCTGCTAAAAGCTGGTTGTGATGATATGAAGAAGACACCTGGATTTAATTCAATTCAATTCAATTTTATTTATACAGGACTGTCTCAGAAAATTAGAATATTGTGATAAAGTTCTTTATTTTTTGTAACGCAATTAAAAATCATGAAATGTCATACATTCTGGATTCATTACAATTCAACTGAAATATCGCAAGCCTTTTATTGTTTTAATATCGCTGATTATGGCGTACAGCTGAAGAAAACTCAAAAATCCGATATTCTAATATTTTGAGATAGGATATTTGGGTTTTCTTAAGCTGTAAGCCATAATCAGCGATATTAAAACAATAAAAAGCCTGCGATATTTCAGTTGATTTGTAATGAATCCAGAATGTATGACATTTCATGTTTTTTAATTGCATTACAGAAAATAAAGAACTTTATCACAATATTCTAATTTTCTGAGACGGTCCTGTATAGCGCCACATCACAACAACAGTTGTCTCACAGCTTTCCAAACAAAGCAGGTCAGACCCTACTCTGAAGTAATTACAGAAACCCAACAATTCCCACCATGAGCAAGCACTAGGCGACACAGGCAAGGAAAAACTTCCTTTTAACATACACGAAAGGCTTTGGATTAGGGGTGAAATGTCTTCAAGAACCAAGAAGAACCTCACACATGACAAGAACATCTTCTTTTAGCCAGCTAACATTCAATTAAATTCAATTCAATTTTATTTATATAGCGCCACATCACAACAACAGTTATCTCACATCTTTCCAAACAGAGCAGGTCAGACCCTACTCTGAAGTTAATTACACAAACCCGACAATTCCCACCATGAGCAAGCACTAGGCGACACAGGCAAGGAAAAACTTCCTTTTAACAGGCAGAAACCTGGAGCAGAGCCATGGCTCAGGGTGGGTGGTGGATTCAGGTTTACATCCCAGATAAAGGAAATCCTAAAAGGACAAACGGGTCCAACTGAATGCTGATTACAGGTCTTTGTGCTTTCATTCAACCAGGTTCCAGTTTGATGTTGGTTTTATTCATCATCACCCGGAAAATACATAGTATTTCTGAATAAAGTGAAATAAATCAAAGCGGTTTATCTATTTATTTGGCTTGGATTCAGGTTCTCCTCTTAAAGACGCTCAGATTCAGACTTACTTAAGTACTTTCTGGCAGTTTATTGGACGGAAATTAAATAAATAAAAGTAACAGTAACTCCATAAATTCTGGACCTAAAAAATTTCATCTTAACCCAACCCTAACCTTGAGAAAATACATAGTATTTCCCAATAACATACAACATACTTAGTTTTGAAATGTAATTTTCCTCTTAGATTATATTTTCCATCTCTAACAGAAAACACTTGTATGTGCGCAGGAAGTAAGTTACTTCTTGCTTTATAAAGAGTTTGAGCAGTTTTTAAATCAATCAGATCTACAAATTTAATAACTCTTGAATCTAGGAATAAACAGTGAGTGTGATGTCTATAATGTTTGGAACTGGACATATCCGTGCACCAATTACGATTATATGAGCTACTTTGCAGCTTCAGATCACAGATTTAATGTGTTTACGTGTTTTTAGAGAGAATAAAACCTGCATTTTTCCTTCGACTGAAGGCCTGCCAGTAGCCTGTGTTCTGGTTTATGCGGTATCTGGGTCAGATGTGCTGTTTAATATCCATCTGGTCGGGTTTTCATATCTCCGTCATATCAAATCTACGCTTTTTTTAAATATTCTCCGAGTCAGAAAGCGTTTATCAGAAAGACAAATACAAACAGGAGTGTAAATCATCCGCGTGGAACGTTAAAAAATGAGGTTTTCATAGCAAATGTGGCTTTACAATCCACAACAAGACCAGAATATGTAACGTGATCTCTTAAATAATCCAACTATGTGGAACATCACCCCATTTATGACACAATAATCCTGAATTTCACCTCTAATCTGAGAGATTATGTGTTCTAAGTGGATTTTTTTCCAGACCCAATAAAAATAGGAGGCTTCCCTCCCCTAACCCTGACCCCTCACA